GGGTTTCACCATGTTGACCAGGATGGTCTCGATCTCTTGACCTCGTGATCCACCCGCCTCGGCCTCCCACAGTGCTGGGATTACAGGCTTGAGCCACCGCGCCCGGCGAGATCTAGTCATTCTAATTGCGTTTTTGGAGATATACATTTTATTGCATGAGGCAGATTTAAAGAAGGTAGAGGGAAGAAAGAAAATAAAGAAAGAGAGAACGAGAAAGGGCCAGGTGCGGTGACTCACACCTATAATCTCAACACTTTGGGAGGCTGAGGCGGGTGGATCACGAGGTCAGGGGTTCGAGACCAGCCTGGCCAACACGGAGAAACCCCGTTTCTACTGAAAATACAAAAATTAGCCGGGTATGCTGGTGAACACCTGTAATCCCAGCTACTCTGGAGTGTGAGGCAGGATGATCACTTGAACCTGGGAAGCAGAAGTTGCAGTGAGCCAAGATTGAGCCACACTGCACTCCAGCCTGGGTGACAGAGGGAGACTCATCTCAAAAAAAAAGAGAGAGAAAGGAAGGAAGAAAGAAAAGGAAGGAGAGAGGGCTGGGGGAGGGAGGAAACACAGTCTTATGAGACTTGTGATCTAACTACTCTTCAGCATCATTCATCCTTTGGTAATTATGATTTTTGTCTTTTGTTGAGATGGAGTCTCGCTCTGTCACCCAGGCTGGAGTGCAGCGGCACGATCTCGGCTCACTGCAACCTCCACCTCCCAGGTTCAAGCCATTCTCCTGCCTCACAAGTAGCTGGGATTACAGGCACACACCACCATGCCCAGGTAATCTTCATATTTTTAGTAGAGACGGGATCTCACTATGTTTCCCACGCTGGTCATGACTCCTGGAACCAAAGTGCTGGAATTGCAGGAAGGAGCCACTCTGCCTGGCCAAAAGAATTATTTTATTTTAAATTTTTGTTCGTTTATTATTTTAAGACACAGAGTTTCGTTCTTATGATCTAACTACTCTTCAGCTTCATTCATCCTTTGGTAATTATGATTTTTTTTTTTCTTTTTTTGAGATGAAGTCTCACTCGCACCAGGCTGGAGCACAGTGGTGCGATCATAGCTCACTGAAACTTCAACCTCCTGGGCTCAAGTGATCCTCCTGCCTCAGCCTCCCAGGTAGGTGGGACTACAGGTGTGCACCACCACACCCAGCTAATTTTCTTTTTCTTTTAGACAGAGTCTTGCTCTGACGTCCAAGCTGGAGTGCAGTGGCATGATCTTCACTCACTGCAACCTCCCCCTCCTGGGTTCAAGTGATCCTCCTGCCTCAGCCTCCCAAGTAGCTGGAATTACAGGTGCCTGCCACCACGCCCAGCTAATTTTTGTGTTTTTAGTAAAGACGGGGTTTTGCCATGTTGGCCAGGCTGGTCTTGAACTCCTGACCTCAGGTGATCTGCCTGCCTTGGCCTCCCAAAGTGCTGGGATTATAGGTGTGAGCCACTGTGCCTGGCCAAAATTTTAAATTCTTTTTATAAGATGTGGTCCCCCTATGTTACCCAGTCTGGTCTTGAACTCCTGGCCTCAAATAATCCTCCTGCCTTGGCCTCCCAGAGCTCTGGGATCACAGGCGGGAGCCACTGCACATAGCCTAATTCTTTTTTTTTTTTTTTTTGAAACAAAGTCTTGCTCTGTAGGCCAGGCTGGAGTGCAGTGGTGCTGTCTTGGCTCACTGCAACCTCCCCCTCCGGGGTTCAAGTGATTCTCCTGCCTCAGCCTCCCGAGTAGCTGGAATTACAGGTGCCCGCCACCACGCCCAGCTAATTTTTGTATTTTTAGTAGAGACAGGGTTTCACCATGTTGGCTAGGCTGGTCTTGAACTCCCAACCTTGTGATCTGCCCGCCTCAGCCTCCCAAAGTGCTGGGATTACAGGATTGAGCCACCACGACTGGTGCCTAATTCTTATTCACAGATCATGGGTGGGAGCTATGGAACCTCTCCCCAGAATACATGCTGGCCCCATCAGAACGTCAGGGTTAAGTCCTAAGAGATGGTTCCTTTGTTTGTGCTCCACACCCAAATAATCCGTCTTAATCCACTGTCAAGCAACTTCCAGGAATTCTAGTGGCTGTAGTCTAGCTGGAAAAACACTGAAGTAGAAATCAGTAGACCCTGGGGACTCTTTTGGCTCAGCCACTAACAACTTGATGTAGCCTTGGGAAAAAAAGAAGCTGGGGCAATGATGCCTGTAATCCCAGCACTTTGGGAGGTCGAAGTGGGAGGACTGCTTGAGCCCAGGAGTTCGAGAGCAGCCTGGATGGGGGCAGCACAGCCAGACCCCATCTCTACAAAAAAATTCAAAAAATTATCCAAGCGTGGTGGTGTCCCCCTACAGTCCCGGCTACTTGGGAGGCTGAAGTGGGCGGATCATCTGAGACCCGAAGTTCAAGACTGCAGTGAGCCAAAATCACGCCACTGCACTCAAGCCTGGAGTTCAAGGTGAGACACTGTCTCAAAAAAGAACAAAAGAAAACCTGGAGCTTTTGTTTTCTCATTTGTAAATGGTGGATGAATCTCTTTCACGGACTTACTGTGACGGTGGAAATACAATTACTTTTTTTTCATCTCCTTTTGGAAATACAATTAGACAGACATAGTGGCCGGATGCAGTGGCTCACGCCTGTAGTCCCAGCACTTTGGGAGGCTAAAGTGGGTGATCACTTGCGGTCAGGAGTTCAAGAACAGTCTGGCCAATATGGTGAAACCCTGACTCCACTAAAACTACAAAAATTAGCTCAGCATGGTAGCATGCACCTATAATCTCAGCTACTCAGGAAGCTGAGGCAGGAGAATCACTTGAACCCAGGAGGTGGAGGTTGCAGGGAGCCGAGATCATCCCATGGCACTCCAGCGAGACTCCATCTCACACACACACACACACAAAAGCCAGGTGTGATGGCTCACGCCTGTAATCCCAGCACTTTGGGATTGGGTGGGTGCATCACCTGAGGTCAGGAGTTCAAGACCAGTCTAGCCAATAGGGAGAAACCTCGTCTCTACTAAAAATAATGTAACCCACGAAGATGCCTCGACCAGCACCTCCTGCATTTTAAATACTCTTCCCTTTTAGCTGTTGTTGTTGTTACTGTTATTATTTTACTGACTGGAGGGATTTCTAACCTGCAAAAAAAGGATCAGAAGTTTGTGAACAAGACAATTATTCTTTTTTTAAAAATTTCTTTTTCTGCCGGGCGCTGTGGCTCACGCCTGTAATCCCAGCTCTTAGGGAGGCAGAGGCGGGAGGATAGCTTGAGCCCAGGAGTTCGAGACCTGCCTGGGCAATATAGCGAGACCCCGTTCTCCACAAAAAGGAAAAAAACAAAAAGACAAAAAAAAAAATTTCTTTTTCTTTTCTTTTTTTAGTGTACTGCTGAAGGTAGACAGCCATTCCTCAGCAACTTCATAACCCCATTTTTTCTCTTTTTCTTTTCTTTTTTTTTTTTGAGACAGAGTCTCACTCTGCCTCCCAGCTCAAGCGATTCTCCGGCTTAGTCTCCCAAGTAACTGGGATTACAGGCGCCCACCACTACGCCCACACTACACCCAGCTAATTATTGTATTTTTAATAGAGGCGGGGTTTCACCATGTTGTCCAGGCTGGTCTGGAACTCCTGACCTCGGGTGATCCACCCACGTCGGCCTCCCAAGGCGTGAGCCACCGCCCCCAGCCCATAACCCCAGTTCCTTTTTACCTACTTTGATTACGGAACTTGGCACGACACCCAGATTCCCATAATACAAATTGTCCTCCCGAGTTATAACTGCCAGTTCGTTTTCATCTAAGACAAACAGAACAAGACAAAACAAAAATTGAAATGCTGGTCATTTCTGTGAACAAAAAGATAAGCATGGCCAGGCGCGGAGGCTCATGCTTGTAACTCCAGCACTTTGAGAGGCTGAGGCGGGCAGATCACTTGAAGCCAGGAGTTCGAGACCAGCCTGGCCAACATGGTGAATCCCCCTCTCTACTAAAAATACAAAAATGAGCTGGGTGGGGTGGCGCGAACCTGTAGTTCCAGCCACTCAGAAGGCTGAGGCAGGAGAATCTCTTAACCCGGGAGGCAGAGGTTGCAGTGAGCATAGGTCATGCCATTACACTCCAGCCTGGGCAATAAGATTGGAAATCCATCTAAAAAAAAAAAAATTGTGACTGCTATTTTCTGGTTATAATCACAAAGTTCATGTAGAAAAGCCAAGCAATATGAAAAAATATGAAGTTTAAAACAATTACTCCAAATTGGATCAGCAAACCTTTTTCTTTTTTTCTTTTGAGACAGACAAGGTCTTGCTCTGTTGCCCAGGCTGGTGTGCAGTGGCACAATCACAGATGATGGCAGCCTCGACCTCCCGAACTCACTCTATGCCCCTGCCTCCCGAGGAGCTGGGACTACAGGTGCACACCCCTGCACCCAGCTAATTTTTCAAATGGTTTTTGTAGAGGCGAGGTCCAACTATGTTGCCCAGGCTGGTCTCGAACTCCTGGCTTCAAGTGATCCTCCCACCTCAGCCTTCTCAGTAGCTGGGAGTAGAGGTGTGTTCCACCATGCCCAGCTAGTTTTTTTGTATTTTTTGTAGAGATGGGATCTCACTATGATCCCCAGGCTGGTCTTGAACTTTTGGACTCAAGCAATCCTCCTGCCTCAGCCTCCCAAAGTGCTGGGATTATAGGCGTGAGCCACTGTGCCTGGCCAAAACTTTTTTAAACGGAAATTTGCACACAGAGACAGACATGCATAGAAGGACGTTGGTCATCTATGTCAAGGGATGCCTGAGCCAGGACAAAGGCTGGGGACAGATTCTTCCCGGAGCCTCCAGAGGGAGCCCAGCCTAAAGATACCAGACTTTACTCTTCCAGCCTCCCAACTGTGTGACATGCATGCATGCATTCATTCATTCATTGTCTCACTCTGCCGCCCAGGCTGCAGTGCAGTGGCATCATTCAGCCTCATCCTCCCTGGCTCAAGCAGTCCTCCCACCTCAGCCTCCAGAGTAGCTTGGGAACACAGGCACATGCAACCATGCCTGGCTAATGCTTTTTTTTTCTGAGATGGAGTCTTGCTCTGTCCCCCAGTCTGGATCGTAGTGGCCCGATCTCAGCTCACTGCGACCTCTACCCTCTGGGCTCAAGCAATTCTCCTGCCTTAGCCTCCTGAGTAGCTGGATTACAGACACCTGCCACCATGCCTGGTTAATTTTTGTATTTTTAGTGGAGATGGGGTTTCACCATGTGGGCCAGGCTGGCCTCGAACTCCTGACCTCGTGATCCACCTGCCTCAGCCTCCCAAAGTGCTAGGATTACAGGCTTGAGCCACCTCGCCCAGCCTTGTATTATTTTAGTAGAGATGGGGTTTCATCATGTTGGCCTGGCTGGTCTTGACCTCCTGACCTTAAGCGATCTTCTCATTCACCCTCCCAAAGTACTGGGATTACATGACCCACAGTGTCTGGCCTGAGACAACAAATCTGTCTTGTTCTAAGCCATCTAGTTTGTGGCACTTTATTACAGCATCCCCAGCAAAGTGATACCCAAGGAATAATCCATTTCATTATTAAAGGACGTGAATGCTCATGCCCTCAGTCATTCCCAAATGTGTAATAATTAGGTTTGGGCCAGGAGCAGAGGCTCATGCCTGTAATCCCAGCACTTTGGAAGGCTGAGATGGGAGGATCACTTGAAGCCCGGAGTTTGAGGCCAGCCTGGCCAACATGGTGAGACTCCAACTCCACACACGCACAAAAATTAGTTGGGCGTGGTAGTGTGCACCCGCAATCCCAGCTATTCAGGAGGCTGAGGTAGGAGGATTGCTTGAGCCTGGGAGTAAGAGGCTGCAGTGAGCTGGGACTGTACCACTGCACTGCAGCCTGGGCAACACAGGAAGTCCCTGTCTGTAAAAAAACAAAAAACACAAAACGGGGTGTGGTTTGATTTTGTGGGGGCTTTTGTTTCGTTACTGTTGTTTTTCGAGATGGAGTCTTGCTCTGTGCCCAGGGTGGAGTGCAGTGGTGCAGTCTCAGCTCACTGCAACCTCCATCTTCTGTGTTCAAGTGATTTTCCCACCTCAGCCTCCCGGGTAGCTGGGATTACAGGTGTGCACCACCACACCCGGCTCATTTTTGTATTTTTAGTAGAGACGGGGTTTCACCATGTTGGCCAGACTGGTCTTGAACTCCTGACCTCAGGAGATCCACCCGTCTCTGCCTCCCAAAGTGCTGGGATTACAGGTGTGAGCCTTTGTACCCAGTTGATTTCATGTTTCGGCTGGGCTGGCTCTGGCAGGTGTATGGTTAATAAGCCAGGTCTAAATATTTCTAGGCTACCAGTGGGTCGGGCACGCACTGACAGCAATGTTGTGGATGGTGACACTGGCTTCGAACATGGAAGAAAACAAGGTCTGGTCTCCTTTTTTCACCCGGACGGTGTCAACGAGCTGACCTAGGAGATAACAGGACAGGTACGTGAGACCCTGTGTACATCCTGGGAAAGGGGATGCCAACTGCTGGGACCCCAGACCCCCTGCCACCACCCAGCCCACCTGGCCAGTGGCTCTTCCGTGTTCCTTACAGCTTTTGAGAGATTTGCTATTCAAAGGAGAATGAATCAATGCAGGCCTGGTGCACAGTTTTGTTAAATATGAGAAGGAATATGCTTTGGTTTAAGAAAACCCATGGCCGGGCACGGTGGCTTGTGCCTATAATCCCAGTACTTTCGCAGGCTGAGGCAGGAGGATCACTGGAGGTCAGGAGTTCGAGGCCGTCCTGGCCAACACAGTGAAACCCCGTCTCTACTAAAAATACAAAAATTAGCCAGGTGTGGTGGCACACGCCTGTAGTCCCAGCTACTGGAGAGGCTGAGGCCGGAGAATCGCTTGTACCCGGGAGGCGGAGGTTTCAGTGAGCCGAGATCATGCCATTGCACTCCAGCCTGGGTGACAGAGTGAGACTCTGTCTAAAAAATAAAAAATAAAAAAAATAAGAAAACCCGGCCCTTCTGCCAGGTGTGGGGGTGCATGCCTGTAATCCCAGCACTTTGGGAGGCCGAAGTGGGCTGATCACGAGGTTAGGAGATCAACACCATCCTCGCCAACATGGTGAAACTCTGTCTCTACTAAAAAAACAAAAAAATTAGCTGGGCATGGTGGTACATGCCTGTAGTCCCAGCTACTTGGGAGCTGAGGCAGGAGAATCGCTTGAACCCAGGAGGTGGAGATTGCAGTGAGC